TATTATTGCACGAACATGCAATTCAAATGAGGCCGTGAAACAGCCAACTCCCAACATGAACTTCTAACACAATTCTTCATAATAAAACATTTTCCAAAATGCCATGTTTTTAAGCCTTCTATTCCCTTAATTCATCTATGCCAAGCATGCAACATGATTACCTTGCTGTACATACATTAAAACACAATAATTGTATCATGTTTGCTCTGTTTCCCCCCATTCATCTTTTTAATTAAATTAGCCCTTTAGGATTTTGTCCTTCAGGCAGTGAATTGAGTTTGCTTGAGAAATAAAAGGCATTAAGGTGCTTTCTGAGATATGCAGAAGCCATAACAGTGATTTCTAGCCCTTTTTCTGAAAAGGTAGGATTCGCCAGCACACAGCAGGGGCATAAATCACCCTGGGGCCATTCTCAGATGCACATCTTCTTCTTGTTTGCTTTGTTGGCGGTGTCATACACGCATCAGAGATTTCCACATGCGCGGGTGGACCGGTGTCAGCGCTTGTTGCTGACAGTGCATGCCCACAGGAAACCGGGGACAGACACAACGCCTACTTTCACAGATTGCTGCTGTGGAAATTACTATGGCCAAAGGGCAATCATTTTTTTTTTTTCTTCCATTATGAAACAAAGTACGGCGTGACATTCTTTCCCCCAAAAGAAAGAGAGCAAAGAAGTAAACGCTGACAGACTTGTGCAGACTTAGCGTGGGAGCACTGATGTGCATTGTCCCACTGCCAACATCTCCTCATTTCCAGGGATGTGAAAACAGGAGACCAGGTTCTCCCATTACGACCCAAAGCCACTGAGAGCAGGTAAAGCTTGGAGCACCCACCCCATCCCTGCTGCAGCCCCTCGTGTCCTAGCAGGTCACCCCATTCATGTGGGATGGGGTGCTAGAAAATTCAAGCAACGGAAGTAAGGCTCCAAAGTCATTAACTTTATCACAGTTTACAGTCTCTTAAACAACACTTTTTAAAGTCAGGTGTTGAAAGGGGTGGTGGAAGAGGTGTGGAAGACAACAGATAGGCTAATATGACCCAAGCATGATGTGCCAACGGGGCTGAACCTGCTCGAGCCCGTTTCCTGAGCATCACTGTACCTACCTCCCTCCGCTGCCATTTTACTTGCTTTAGATCTGTCACTCTCACACCCCTTAATCTTTGCTTCATCTTTCAGCTCTTATTTTGAAGTTTGAAACACATTGTTTTATACCACAAAGGGAAAGTCCCAAATCCACAGGGGCTGGCTGGAAACATGGCCGGGATGTGAAACCGTCGGAAGAAAAATAGTCTAATTAAGAGGTCACTTCTGTAAGTCTCTGTAGAAAGAGCTACACACTCTGCACCTCCTAGAGCTCTCCCTAGTTATCAGACTAGTGGCAAAGGCAGAGCTGGCCCCACTAAGATTTGAGAGCCATCCTTTGACCACTGAGCCACCCTTACTTTTCTCACTCACGGCTGTTAGCGAGATCCAAATTCTTAGCTCACAGGACTAGTTTTCTGTTCAGTGCTCTTTCCGAAGCTAAAGGCAATACAATGAAAAAGGATACGAACTTGGATTGTTTAACCTACATATTCCAGGCATTAAACCTGTGGAGGCAGTTTATATCATCGTAATTACTTTCATACAGGTTGTTAAAGCCAGATTCATTAGCTTAGGTTACAATGACCTATCCAACATGCTTAAAACCCATTTACCCTATTAAATAGATTTAAAACTCTCCTCCTTTCATGAGATGTCAGTGATTCTTGATTTATGATTTGGTCATGCTTTAAAAATAAAAGCAATTACCTCTCTTACTATAGTAAAAGCCCACTGTCTCAAGGTTGCCACAATACATCTATAATTGAACAGCAACAGCTCTAATCTTCAGCTTGGATGACAAAAGCATTGGCTATTGAAATACTGCCTACGACGGTGTCTGCATTCCAGGGAGCTCTACCTCAGCTGACAAGTTTGAGCAGGAGCAATTGCACCTCAAGATCCAACGCATCGGGTGTTTCCTGGCAGCGGCGATATTTTCCATTTACGTATCCTAACCCTTTTAACAAAAGAAAAAAAAAAAAAAAACCACAAAAAAAAAACCAACCAACACCCTCCTGTTAATTTCATTGCAAGAGCCAAGATCTTTTGTTTGAACGCTTTTCCTTTGAAGCCTGCATGAATTTTATTTCAAAGGAATTTTCTTTGAGCGTTCCTAGAAATATGATGACTCCACGATGCACAATACGCTTGGGCATTGCATCATGTTGGGAATCCAGCTGGCTTACAAAACACAGCCATAAAAAGGCTAAACCAGGCAATGTTTTGTCCCAGGAAGGATCCCAGAACCAGTCTCTTTAGGAAAAATTACCAAACTCACATAATTATCCCAAATGTGCTGTAAATATTATTGATACACAAGTGGGTGCTGATGGCCAGAGGTGGACTCTCCGATTCAAGTGACTGAAGTGTGACCCATTTTACTGCATCTGAGCTATGTTGTGCTCAGATTGGTTATTTTACAGCAAACTGGCGCGTTTTGACATCACTGAGGTCTGAAAATTTCCTGGAAGCCTCTCCTTGGTATAAAGAATACATACAAAAATCATAAACGACTTTTCTTACACAACTATAAACAACAAACCCTTATACACAATAGGGGACACACTCATAGGAACATGGAAGTTATTCCCTCTCTTCTCAGGACAGCAGGGACTCAAACTTGCCAAATCTGGGATTCTCTAATATTCATGCATATCTTAACAGTAAGAAGTTGTTTTACCAGTCACATAGCTGAATTTTAAATACATTAATTTAGAAATAACTAAGCTTCTCCTCATGCTTAATAAATTTTAAAAAAAGCAACTATTCCCTTTCTCCCCGTCCCTGTTTTTGGCCTCTACCGGTGAAAAAATGGCTTTAAGATTACTGTATGTATTTGATGCTATGTCGATGGCTTTAGCTTGAACAAAGTTGTGTATAATTCTTATCAAGGCAGCATAAAACAGCCTGAGGCAGAAGGGGCTGCTCAAGCTCCTAGAGAGCTTGAAAGCCCTTTTAGGACTAATCCCTGTCCCCACAAGGGTCCGTAACCCTCATTGACCCAGAGCTCCTCACTCTCCTACACCTCAAGTTTTATCCAACCCAAAACTCACTGTCAGAGCTCTCATTTGAACACACTTTAAACTGTCACAGCCCTTTTCCTTACCTCCAGCCACACCGACAGTCCCACACACTAACGCTTCTTGAAACGCAGAGATGGTCCTTTAATAGGTGGCAACCAAGACTTCCACACTGTGGCTTTCTGCCATGGCCAGCCAGTGACATAACCACAAAAACACCTAATATTTTGAGCCTCTTCCCCAGCTCACAGTGCTAGAAGCACATATTAGATATGGTTATAAAACCAAAATACTTTATAACTTACCTTTTGTCTCATCAAATCTACATGTCTTAAAATCCATTTTCACATGAAGTAAGAACAGATGTCAGCCAGAGGAATAAAGGCAAAGTAGGAGAGAGGGAGCCCCGGGACACCAGCCAGGGATTCACTTGGTAAAAAGCCTCCAACAGCATTTACTCTTGGTCACAACCTGCATTCCAGAGGCTGGATCAGAGGGACGTGTTTAAAATCTACTCTTTAATCATGATTTCTGCAGCACATAACCCCTTTTAAACTATACACATGTGGTTTTTTTAATGTATACACTCTTGATTAGTGTGGGGCATTAAGTGAGATTTCAGAGCATTATTTATTAACCCTTTTCTAGGGCTACAGCCAATTTCTCAGATGCTTTTCTTCACGCCATATGCTTTTTGTAAGAAATGTTGTCTTAGAAAACAGGCTCAAATAATGGTCTTTAGTTTGGGGTTTTTAATACATCGGTTTCCCCTGCTAGAACTAAACATCCTCTCTTCCCACCACTAAACCAGCTTTGTATTAAATCAGCCTTTTTAGTAACCAAAGGAGCACAAGACCTAGACATTGGTCCTTGAGAGCACAAGCTACCACCAGCGTTAGCATCCACACGGGTGCATTGGCCACAAACACCCACAATTTATTCTGCAATTCTCCCAGTCTCAGTTTGGATTATTTGCAGTGCAAGCTATTAGGAAAAGAAATTTACCTCTAATGCTACAGCCCATTAAATGACACATAATTCAATAATGTGTTACAACAGAATTATCTTTAAAACACAAACTAAGATCCCTATAGGAACAAAACAATAACAATCTTTGATACCACAATTATTTGAGACTTGCTAAAATATCTTTGTAGTTAGGTGAAGAGATGCAAAATGGCTATTTAGAACACAAATTTCCAGGGAAATAAAAGTAAAAAAAAAGAAATTAAATCAAATCTTCCATGTAGATGCCTAGTTTAATATGTCTGCAACGTGCAAGACAACATACCTATTAAAAAAGTGAAGGGGAGAAAAACATTTACATTTTATAACCACAGCCAAATAACAAAGCAACAATTAAAGATTGTTATGAACATTGCTACACAAAACAGCTAGCTGGCTGTTAAGAACAATTTTGGTCGTATAATGCAAAATGTGCCTAAGGGCAAAATTCCAGCCCACCTAAGTTACACCTAAATTGGGTGTCAAGTGAAAAACAACCACCTCCGTCCAAGATGGAGATGGAGATAGGGTAACTGGCAGCAAGCTCCCTCACCCTGAAGGCAGCCAAAATTCAGAGGTTGCCACCCAGCACATCCCTGGCTCCACACCCACCTTTCCTTTCAGCTCACAGGCTGCCTTTGAGCCGTTGGGGTCCATGTCCTGCCCAAAACAAGGCACCGACTGCCACTTCATCCCCTTTCCCTGGAGAAGGTCCCCAATCACCTTCCTCCTCAGTGGTCTCCTACTGTGGGAACAAGGGCAGCCTGGGAAGGGAGGGGCTGTAGCACCAGTCCCCAAAAGTACAAAGGGTCAGATGAGACAGAAGAAGTATCACTACAAGCCAGTTACTAAATCTTTACATTTTTTTTTATTATGCACTTGTGCTGACAAATTAAAAAATTGGGAAATAGATAAAGGAAGAAATGGGAAGAGAGATAGAAATAGTCCCAGATTTTCTGAGTGAAAAACATTTTTGGTCACACTTTCTGAAAAGAAAAGCAAAAGTCTGTAATGAGGGGACTGATATAAACTCACAAGGAGATAAGCCTCAGTAGCAAAAGCAATAATCATGACAAAGTTTACAGGACAGGAGGATTTCCACACAGGGCATGAATTAAAATGGTGGGGGAAGTCTGCTGAGCATCCCCTGGGCACTCACCGGAGTCTTGCACTGATGTAAAGATGCAGCAAGAGATGGAACAAGTACTACAGATGCAAATTAAATTGTGATTTTGTTCAGTTGACGGCAAGAGCACATCACATGCGTTGGATTATGATAGAAGACTAGGAGTTGCTCAGAAAGGAAAGAAGAGTGCATCTACATTTAAAGCCCAGAATGTAATGACTTTGAATTTTTCATCATCAGAAAAGCAAGCATATTGTCAGAGCAAGGCACAGGACAGATGGCCAAACCAGGGAACCCAGGAGAATGAGGCTTTCTTTCAAAATATCACAGACTTTCAAAGCCTGAGGATGTGATGGGAAATGCAAAAAGGGAGTGGGAAAGGAAAAATATAGGCGAGCTGCCCAACTTGGCATCACTGAACATTTTATGGTACAGGGCACAGGGACAGCCAGCAGCAAGGAGGGCACCTGATGTTCCTAGAATGAATTTAGGGAAGAGGAGTGACCAAAATCTGTCAGAAGCCAGATGCTGGACTCCAGTAATGCCAACCTGAAGGCTCGCTGATCTTAGAGGAGTCAGCACAAACTCTCCCCAAAGCAGCAGGCGACACTGGAAGGTGTCAGGAGAAGAGGGCAAAAATGTGAGTTCTTCATAAGCCCAGAACTGAGTAAGGAATTGTACAAAAAGCAGAACTGAGATCAGAGTTTACTAATAATTAAAGAAGCACAAGCATATACAGGCAATGTACAGAATGACCAAGACAGTCATATCAAATTAGCAGCTGATATACTTACTATTACTTTTTCTAATACTGTAGAAAGGAGATTGTTCGCTTCTTCGTGAAGGTCTTGATCTTTGTTCATTTTTCCCCCCACCTAATCTACGTTGCTTAGTCTAGCAAAGAGTACACATTACAAACATCACAACTATACTTCACAAAATTTTGGGGGAAAAACAAGGTCAATCATTTCTCAGCTCCAACAGCAACAGAACCAAAAAAAAAACCCATCGTATTACGCTGAAGCTGCAGTGAGAAAGATTTCCATTAGACATTGCTAAATCTCTCCAATGATAGCAACATATGCAACTCCTTAGAGTGCAAGAAGGCTGTTAACTCTCAAGGTTTTTTTTTTGTTTTGAAAAACAGGTTCTACATCTCTGTGTGTTGGTGGTGCCTTTTGATGCAGAGAGGAACTGTATAATCTCAGGAGATACCTTACACAGAAGGCAGGATTCAAAGACATCACAAAATCATTGGAATTCCTCCAAAGATGCCCCATCTGGGGATAGCTTTCTATTTCTGTTTATCCACTGCTTTTCCTGAACATTACTCTTCACACAAAGATTTACCTCTGTTTGTAAGGCAGCGTAAATGGAATTTAGCAAATACAGTACAATAAATAGCAGTGTCTTTAGAAGAGTTTTTCCCCAGTTATCTCCTCAAGCAAGACAAACGCTGATGGATACCTTAGAGATTCTTGCTTTCAGCTTCTGCTGTTCTCAGCGCCCTTGGGACAGGCTCAGTACTCAGCATCTTACCCATGAAAAAGTCATAGAACCAGAGGGGAAAGTAGCAGAAGATGCAGAGGGGCAGGTAAGCCCCTTTGCCAGGGGTGTACAAGCCGTGGGGTCTCTTGGCCAGCAAGGCGTGCAGGATGGCGCTCAGCACAGGGGAGAGGTCGGCATCACAGTAGGCAGGCATGTGCAGGAGGTAGCTCTTCAGCCCCAAGAGATAGTCCTCACCGTAGTCTTGCCTTGTGTCTGCTGGGAGGTTCTCCATCAGCTCCTTTTCTTGCTTACCCCACAAGTCGGATGTGCCTTGTATACCTGCAAGAGCAGCATCACAGGATAGCAAGTGGGTTTGGGGCTGAATTAAAAAAAAAAAATCATCTATAATTAATAGTGAGCTGTTCTCCACCACCACCCCGGTTCACAGTGCTCATAAACTAGGTCAGTGAAGAACAAAACAGCTGGTTAGCTGAGAGGGCTTCTACCCGGAAGAGAAGGGAAGGGAAGGCACGAAGCACAGACTACACAAAAAACATGGGGTTTATGCATTGTTTGGTTACCAGCTGTACCTAAAAAGGTGCTCTCACAGCCAAGTCAGCATTTATTTATTTTCCTCCTTCTCCCTGCTGAGGGGAAAGCTACACTCACGAGGCAGAGGCAGGTAGCATGCAGAGCTGGAGGGAGCATCTCTCCCAAAAAACACCAATCTTAATTTCCATAACCCATGTGAAAAATGGGGGAAAAAAAATTCTGACTGAGAATCACCGAAGGCTCTGTTTGAGGATGCTGGACTACAGGGAGAGAGGAGAGGCAGAAAGCACTACCCAAAATGTCAAACACCAACCTGTTCGGAAGCCTGACGGATGAATTGCAGCAACTTTAATTCCCCATTTGGAAAGCTCTTGCCTCATTACTCCAGAAAACATGGACAGAGCTGCTTTTGATGCACCGTATGCAGCATACCTCGGTAGTGGAATGCCTCCTGCAGGAGCAATATAAACATGATAAAACTCAACGGCAGCTCTTTCCAGCCTTTATTTTCGTGATTTAGAAGGAAGATTATAGTGCAACCAAAATTATGCGTCTCTCACTGAGGTTAAAGACAAGTCAGTGAGGGAATCATTCCTTTCTGGAGGTTAAAAAAAAGTGAAAGTTGTAAATTAGCAGTTGCTTATAGCAGTTATGCTCAGTAACACCTGATAAGACACCTTGTATGGCAGAAAAAATAAATTGTATTGCATTTAAGGGTAAAAACTACTGAAAATTATGACTGTTGGTTTCAGAAACACAGATAATGTTTTAGTTCATATAAATAGTGAAGCAATAGTTTAATGCCGCTGTTCTTGTCACTGTAACACGAATTTCAAGCTCCTACTATAAACCACAGTTACAACAGGGTAAGTAATCTCAATCTTAGCTTTATAAAGCCAACTTATCTTCCAGTTCTTTCCAGCTAGTTTCAGAAAGACCAGAGACAGCAGAGCAAAACCTCTACAGATAAACCAAAGCTGGAATCACACCACCCAGGCAACAGGGCTCTCCGAGACCCATCATGGAAGCAGATCCCTTGCCTGGAGTTATATCTCATCTCTTCCAGTCCCAGCAGCATTTTTTCAGATGGAAAAAAAGATAGAAAACAGCCAGTATTTTTCATTAATTTAAAGTAAATCCATATGCTTACAAAACAAAAGCTTCCAGAAAAGACTCTCTCCCAAATACAGAGATTTCCTCTGTTCCATAAACTGGCAGACTGTCATTTCTTTAGAAAAATCCAAAGACGCTTTGATTTGAACTTCCCTTCTTCAGCTCCCCACCTCAAGATTTCTCCCCAAGATTGGTGTTATCCCCGCACAGAATATCACTGCCAGATTTAGGGGTCATCACAGCCACCATGGGCTGTGTTGACACAGCGGTGAGGAGGGAACAGAATGGCCAACCCTTCTCCTTGGGCCACACAACACCTCCTGCCTGCATAGCCAGTTGGGCACATCCTCTGGCACGGCCTCCCTTCCACACGTTACACATTTATCTCCAGGTATTCGAATCTTTTAATAGAAAATACTTCAACACGGGAATTTTCGAGTAAGCCACTGGTGCCATTTATTGGGTTTTGTACCACAACGACCAAGGTATCACGGGGGCTTCTCACGCGGAGTCATCCCTTTGAAGAACTCAGGCCAATTATATGTTAATTATTCTTCTGTATGCATCTGAATAAGTTTGAGTTCCAATTGGTTTGAGCCAACTGAACCGCGTACTCTTTCCCTCTGAGGTCAGGCTAACCGAGTCCAGTTAAATTAGCTCTGTGCAGACAGGAATAGATTCGGCACAACGAGACCTCACTAACCTTTTCTGCTAATGTTCTACCAAAGGACCCTCAGACCCTGCGTTAAGAGGAAGCTATTTACCCAAACCAGCTCGTGTGTGAGAACATCTGCGCGAACAGCTACAGTTTAAGCAGGCTCGTTATCAACTCCTGTAAGGGCAAATTATTCAGCACAGAGCAGCTCTCCATTTATCCCTACAAGGCAGCTTGAAAATTCATGCCAAGAATTAAGACATCTGCCCCAAAACACCACCCAGGTGCTCAGAGAAACAGAGGTCTGTCCGCTGTCTCCGTTCTTGCAAGGGTTGGTGGGCAGAGCAGCACCAGGAAAGGTCCTTCTTTTAATTCAGCTCTGATTTCTTAAAGTGTCAGCAACAAACCACAAACACAGACATACAGATACAAAACATATTTGGGATTATAAAAAGCAAACAGAAGACACAGTGTCAAAGCTGGGCTGAGGCCACATCCTCAACATAAGCCATGAACACAAGGTAGTGCTTGCACAAGCCACCTCAGCAATACAGCAGGATTCAAGTGGACACCAACTGCACAGAAATAAGGGTCCAAGAAGAAAAGGTGAAGAAACATTTGGGAAGCAAAGGAAACAGTAAATGCTTAAGAGGCCTTAAGCCAAAATACTTTCCAGCATCATGACATCCTGCTTCTGGCAGGTCTCATTTTTAAAGGAGCATTCTTGCTCCCCAGCTGTTGGCTACCAGACACTGTATTACTTCAGTTCCTACAACTTAGCATCTCAGCTGTCCTCCTAGACTAGAAGATTATGTTATAAAGGCATATATATAGTGAGAACAGGACCCAATTTATGGGTCAAAACTAGAAAGTATATTATATGCTGTTTTTAAAGAGTTATTTTATTGATTAAAAAAGTACCACTTTGCTAATAAATTAGGCTAAAGTATTTCTAGGAAGATAACCAAAATATTTTTAGACAAATATAAACACACACAGTCTGTTCAGGTCCCAGGTTATTAGCAGACCATGCTCTAGGACTGCGCACTCTGGAGAAAAACATAGAATGCAGCAAAAAATAAAACTGCCTTCTGGTCTTGAAGGACTAAATGTTTCTCTTCAGGGGATGCTTTATCATCATGTTTTCTCACTTTAACATGAGCCCTACAAGGGTGCAGGGGTAGAGCTGCCCAACTGAAATATCCAACATTTATTATAGACTGTTACAAATGGCAAATGTCATGAACATACCCAAAATATATTTATGCTTCAATTTTAACCCAAAGTATTAAAAAAAGGTCAAAACTTTAACTGTAACCAGCCCAAATGGAAGAGAGCCCATCTCTGAAAAGGCAGACAGCTTTTGGGCATCTCCATGATGTGGTTCAACAACACACAAACCGAGATGGTCACAGACTTCTGCAGTGATATGTTATAGAAACATCTGTGATTTACCATCCATCTTTCTGGAAACTCACAAAGCTATCACCCATAGCATCTATAACACATGATCTGAATTTCACCATCTTTTATATAACAGCACATTTTTAGCATTACTAAAATCTTCTGCTTTAAGGGCTGGTTTTTGGCAACAGTCTCCCAAACAAAAGAAAACCCCACACTTATTACCTAGATACCAATTCCCTGGGTGTATTGACAAGCAAGGCTGACCAACACCTTCCTCAGCTTTTTTGCCAAGGAAGTTCCTTGTTTTTTCTGTTGTACCAGAAATTCATTTGGTGCTTTAGTTCAGCTCACCTGCCATGCTGGACATGTTAACCAGCCTCCCCTGGGATTTCCGAAGTAATGGTAAGAAGATCTTGGACACCTCTACAGCCCCAAAGAAATTCACCTCCATGCATTGCCTGTAGGTGCTCATGGGGAGCAGCTCACCGTCAGCAAGGAAGCCCAGGATGCCTGCGTTGTTCACGACTCCCCAGAGCCCTGGGAAGAGGAGAAAGCACAGGACAGCTATACAGCAAGAAGTCAAATCCATAAAGATTACCTCCAGATCAAAGCAGATATTATCTGCAGATACAGATGCACAGTATCCCCTCCTTGAACAATCATCACCATTTTTCATAGGTCCCAGAAAGCAGGAATTCCCAATATAAATACCTTGACTGTCCACATACTGCAGCATGGAAGTGACCTGCACACGAAAGCCACAACGCAGCCAACGGGTAAGAGATGGACCTTGTAAGCACCTACATTAGGATGCCCATTATAATGTCAAAAAAGCCATACCTGTATTTTGCACCTTCTCTGAGACTTTTAGATAGGCTTCCTTGACTTGGGTGGCATTGGTTATATCCAGCTGCAGGAGAGAGAGCCTCTGAGAACAGGTCCGTCTCAGTTCCTCAGCTCCAGGTCCGTCCTTATTCAAAACCCCAGCAAACACAACAAAACCCAAGTTATCCAGGTATTTAGCCAGTGCATGTCCAATCCCAGTGTCGCTTCCTGAAAGCATCGAAAAAGACATCTGAAGAGTAGGTCTGTCCTAAACCATCATCTAAAAAAACATTAATTGGAAATACATGCAAATATAACCAAAAAGATGACGAAATAAACTGGAAATATACCTGACTGTGGGAGGAAAGGTTCAGATCTGAAAGTTTGAGGAGATAGATCTCTGAATGTTCCACAAAGAGTGACAGATCTTGGCCTCTTGGCTCACAGCCAATGGCATCAGTTCATAGTCTACCACTGACAGATTTTTAAGGCTTACTTCATACATACAGAAGAAATAAAACCCCAGATTTAGTTTATACAAATATTCAGAATGAAACCTGATAACAAAAGTATCTAGGGGGAAGAAAAAACTACCCAAGAAAAACGACACAACTATTTTAATTTGAAATCTCAGATGAACAAAGCAACTATAGGGCATTGGAATTCAAAAAAATTATTGGATTATATTTCTTAAATCCAAGAAGTAGCATTATTTTATTCTAATATCTTCCACGCAGATCCTTCTGATACTTTTTTGTCCCAGGTTGCCACCAAGCCAAAGCTGAGCTACTGTTTCTTTACCTGAAAAGGAGTTCAATGTTTTCAAACCCTGAGAAAGCTTCAGAATTGCATTTTTAAGCTAAGCCAAATAGCACCAACTATTTAATTCATGCAAACTTGCGTCAGGATTTCTCTTATCCTCTCTATTCTCTTCTAAACTTATTCCCAAACTTTGTCCTATAAAGCAGTGAACTACCAAATGCAGGAAGCACTCACTGTTAGAGCAAATACGGAACAACGATCTTTGCAACCATGATTGTTACCGGGTGGGAGGAACTGAACAATGATTAATATTTAACTAACAGGTCAATCGATTCACAAGTTTCTCCCGTTGACACAATATTTTGCAGCCACTATCTTAAGACACTTCTAAGTGTTCTCACTCCTGTGTCTTTTTTTTTTAATTCAGGTTTCCATTCCTCCCATGTGCTAGTTGGCGAGGAAGGAACCACCTCGCCCATCTGCCCACCAAGACTCTCCGTGAAGGATCCTTTTGTAAAGGACAATACCAGGAGGAAAAAGAGGAGTTTAAGAAATTAACACAGTTTTTACACTGTAAAGCAGAGCTCCACCAGCACATCCCACGACAGGGCACTGCACCCTCTGGTGTAACTGCAGCAAAGAAGGCTGCTGGATGCTGATGTGCACCAAGATCCCTGGAGCTGCCCCAGGGCTTGGCCATCTCCTGTGATGGACATTTGTTATATAAATGCTCAGCTTCCAAACCCACCTGTGTGGCTGGAAACCTGACCGTGGGACAAAGGGATGGGACTCCTGCCAGTTTTGTTTTTTTTTTTCCTCATTTCCTCATTTGTGAAAGAGCTGCAATACTCCTTCCTTACCCCTACCAGCAACTTACAAGGATTAACCTGTGATTTTGGCACACCAAGGCGCATATCAGCCTAGTCATTCACAGGCCTGCTCCTGCACTCCAAATCCACAGAAAAATAGAATTTGGCTGCCAAAGAGATTAATCTTAATCACACTAGATCTTCATTTCTGGGTTCTGTCTTTTAACTGGGGATTTAGTGCTGAAAGGTGAAAAAAAAAAATTAATTCCAGGTGATTTGAAGGAAACACATACATTGATTGATCCAGGAATTTAGTAACATGTTGAGAAGAATTACTCATGCTCTACTTAATTCTTTAAAAAAAAAATAAACACCTTGTGGCATTTTTTGAAGTCTGCATTTGTTGAAGATGCACCAGAACACCACATACATCACACTTTGCTTCTCGCAGCCCTGATCCAAAAGAGAAGAGCAAACCTGCATTTTTGGAATTCCCTAAAGAGACATGAAGAAGCCTGCAAATATCCCAAAGACATGACAGATTGCTGAGTTTGAGGGTGGAATGTTTTTCCTTTTTTTTTTTTTTTAGTGAATAACCCTATTTTCTGGATCAAATCCTTTCCCTTTCATCCTCCCCAGCAAGTACACAGCCACAGAGCTACATATTACTTAAGTTTTACAGCGCAGTTTTAACTTGGGAAGGAGCAAAGTGTTAACAACTTTTATCTCCTGAGGAGGAAATAAAAAGCAGTGCTTGTCTGTGCGTGCCACAGGGTTTGTCCCCAGCTTTTATCAAAACAATTCTGATTGGGTTTCAGATCTCTTACTGAAGTCCAGAGAAAACCCTTCAACTCATAAAATTCAAAGGGTAGTTAGGTCTCTACAGGGAAGAAATAGAGAATTGCCCCCTACCCCCTTGCTTCTATGTCAAAAATAACAATTGGTGAATGATTAGATGCTTTATTACAAGAAAAACACTCAATACTGAAAGTAACTGAGAATTTATCACCAGCTCACACTGAGCATCAGAAACACCAAGTGACACATCAAGAATGACAAGACCAAGTTAACTGGAGACATTCATCCCACTGGACACAGAATAACCGAGGCAAAAATGTTTTAATTCCTGCTACTTCCAATCTTCATAGTAATTTAATTTTTAGGGCAGCTGGCTACTGGGTCTACCAAACTACACTAAAGCGTTCGCATGCCCAAAAGCTTCTGTTTAAGGACACTGAAGCACTCACTCCCAGCAAGAGGATCAACAGAAATGTTTCACCAATGACTTTAAAACTGCTCACATGCCCACAGTTACTCATGTGAAAAAGCATTTTGACAACTGGCTGGCTTAAATAAGTAACACACAGCAGCACCTGTGCAAGGGACACTCAAAAGAGGATCAGAGCAATATTTGATAAAACCCAGGGAGAGAAGCACAGAGATGACTCCATCCTCTGGCCAAGGGCAGTCAGCCCACAAGTGATGCGCAGAGCACAGCAGCATTCCCCAACCCTGCGGGGCTGAAAAGGGTATGGAAAGAAAAAAAAATAAAAATAAAACCCCCACCATTTCCCATGAAGTGCCTACTTCAAGTCCTGTCTAAATTGGAGAAAGCAACATCAAAATTGATTTCAAGGCACCTCGCACCTACACATGCATGCAGACACACATCCCACCACTGGTATGGGGAAGAGCAATTTAATCAAGAAATGTGTTGAGTAAAACTTTTGTTTCAGAGTTTGATTGAGTGATTGCATACCAGTCCGGATTCAAATACAGACCAAGAAGAACCTTCTCAGATGTGTCAGCTGCCAGAGGTGTCCAAACTTGCATTTCTTCAGGACAGCTGCAGCACAGGTACAACAAAAGCACATTCCCTCGCTGGAATATACCCAAGTGTTCTTCACTTCCCTATATTCCTCCAATTCAAGTTCTCTAGAGCAGATAAGCTCTGAGACAGTCCTCTTTCTTGAAAAACTGCAGTCTTGCAAAGAGCAAGAAGATGCCCAAGTGCAAACAGAAAAACCCTCACCTGCAGGGGTGGGAAAAGGAGTACTCCCTGTCCCCCCCACCCGATACTCATTTTCATCTGAAACACCTGCAGGGAGAAACCCAGCTGGCAGATAAACCACGAGGGGAGAACGTGCTGCTCATCTTGTCCTCCCCTTCACTTCAGCATTTAATCCCTGTATTAATGCTTGCTAGGCAAATCTAAATTATTTCCAGGTGTCCCTATAAAACAAAATGAAATTCTGCAAGAAATAGCTATATAAACCAAAGCAACTTAATTCAGCTTTCCAGAGGGGGAAAAATAAAACTAAAAAAGAGCAAGTTAACAGTGCAAGAAGCAGTTGGCAGGCTCTCTGGTAGAAGGTTTGATTAACACAAATAAACAACATTTAAAGTTTTAGAAGAAACAGGAGAAAAGCCATAAAACTACAAAAATGCCATCCCTGCAAACTAAAAGTGGCTTTTGAGTAGATCAGAGTGTTAATAGAGGCTGAATTCATTAGCGGTGAACTTTCACTGCTTGTGAGGGAAATTACTCCCAAATGATTTCATACATCATTTCAAAGAAATGGCACCAAACCACTGCCTTGAAATACATGCATGATATACACGGTGTGCACTGTGTAAGCGTGCACACCGAAAGATAACCGCACACCCGTCCCCAGCGCGATGAATTCAAGTAAACAAAAGTAATATATGAATGTAGCACTCTGAGGGCTTCCAGAAATTAACGTCTCTCCTAAAAAATTAGACCACCGTAAGTATTCTCATGCCTTTTGCACCAGTTAATTTCACAAGTATGTCTAAAAAGCTACTTGTAAAGATTAAATGAGACACTAAAAAATAATAGCATCTATCAAGATGCTTTTCTACTTAATTTCAGAACACTTACTTACCTGGAAAAAAACATCTCAGGCAAAGCAAATAAAACAAGAGAAAGAAAAAAAAATAAAATAAAAATAAGAGGAAACATTATGAGCACGCATTTCATAGATACGTAACCTGAGGACACAAAGTTTTCAAGCCCACTTATGAGAAAAGCCAGTTTTTCCTTGCCCATGGCACCTTACCTGTGATGAGCACGGCTTTCCCAGCCACAGGCAGCAGCTCCTTGCTGCCCAGGTACGTGGAGAAGACCAGGCTCACGGCGCAGAAGACCACCAGCCCCCCACCAGCCCCCAGGGTGGCCACGCACAGCAGCCCCAGCAAAGTGGGCAGGAGGCTCCGGATCAGCACCTTCCTCTTCTCCACCGGGTTCTTCTTGGCCGTGCAGAGGACAACCATCCCCAAAAGCGCGGTGGCACCCACGCAAAGCCATCCAAGGGGGCTGGGGGTGAGAGCATCCATCGGCAGTGGGGAGGAGCAGGCACACACAGCCCACCACCAGCTGGGTAAAAGCAGGTGTTGCTTAAATGCAGCACGTGTTATATAGGAGCAGGGGGTGGGGCAGAGAAAGGGGACTCTATCTTTAAAGGTTCAACATAATCTCACTCACCCTTGGCATCAGCAAGAAGCAGAAGCTTTCCTTTTCTTACCTTTTATTCCTTCTGCCTGACAGCTCCACCTTCTGAACAACGTGCTGGCTGGATAATGATTGACAGCACTGGGAATGGACATGATGTAACAAGCGTTGGCTTCAGGAAAAAAATTAACTGCTATACGTTTTATATGTGTAAAGTACATTTTCCTAGACAGTAAAAACAGAACAGCTTCGTTTATGTGAAATAGTTGGAATTTCCTGCCAAAAAACTTAGGGTGTAGTTTCAGTGGAACTGATCTGTGATAGGCAGTGGCAAAAATGAGTCAGGACAGGGTTATTTACTCTCTGTAATACAAACTATGTGGTTAGTGCCGGACTTTATCACACGTGGACCACCCTCCTCTTTCAACAAAAACCCCAAAATGACCCCCTTTGGTTTAGTGTGCACCTTTGGCTATTTATCTTCTTCACATTCAGCAAATACCTATGGTTAATGGCCATTGAAGGAGATTCAGCAAATACCTATGGTTAATGGCCATTCAAGGAGGGCTGGGAAAGGTTCAACATAATCTCACTCACCCTTGGCATCAGCAAGAAGCAGAAGCTTTCCTTTTCTTACCTTTTATTCCTTCTGCCTGACAGCTCCACCTTCTGAACAACGTGCTGGCTGGATAATGATTGACAGCACTGGGAATGGACATGATGTAACAAGCGTTGGCTTCAGGAAAAAAATTAACTGCTATACGTTTTATATGTGTAAAGTACATTTTCCTAGACAGTAAAAACAGAACAGCTTCGTTTATGTGAAATAGTTGGAATTTCCTGCCAAAAAACTTAGGGTGTAGTTTCAGTGGAACTGATCTGTGATAGGCAGTGGCAAAAATGAGTCAGGACAGGGTTATTTACTCTCTGTAATACAAACTATGTGGTTAGTGCCGGACTTTATCACACGTGGACCACCCTCCTCTTTCAACAAAAACCCCAAAATGACCCCCTTTGGTTTAGTGTGCACCTTTGGCTATTTATCTTCTTCACATTCAGCAAATACCTATGGTTAATGGCCATTGAAGGAGGGCTGGGAAGGGGTGATGGCTGATTTGCCATTAAGGGCACTTCGTTAAGTGAACACAAGCAACACACCTGAGATTGAGCCTTCAGTTGACCTCCAGTGGTGACATTCACCTTAGTTTTGACATGAGTCACTGGTTCAATACCCACAGCAAGTTGGGAGGGAAAAAAGGCAATCAATGAAATGTATTGGAGAGATTTAACACTTCCTGTGGTGTACTCTGAAAGTTATTTAAATAATAAGAAAATTGTAAAATCCATCTGGCTAAAAGGATTGCAATACAATGAAGGCAAATTTAACCCAGTTTAAAAAATCCCTGCTAATTGGTTTGAGAGATGAGCCTAAGTTATTACACAACCAGCTAACACGATGTAGCTGGTTTTCTGAAAGAAAATGCAGTGCTGACCTATTTTATTTCACACAGACAAGGGAAGATTGAAGTGCAGGCTGCAAACCTAGCATGAGACACCAGCACATTTCCATGCCATTATTCCTTTGAGGTTTTACAAGATGACAAATGTGTTGAATAACATTTTTTTACAGCCAGTGAAAATGTTTACATACCTCTCTATGCAGTTTACATGAGCCATGAGGTCGCTTTCTTAAAAGAACATTACCCTTAAGGGCGGCTTGTCATTCATTGCTGTTGGGAACACCCATTCATTCATCCTTCCGCTGGTGCACAGTGTGTCAACTATTTTAACTTCCCTTCACCATTTGCTGACTCTGCTTTTATCAGCGTGGTGGTCTTGAGGTCAATTGTAGCCTGCCCTTCGTTAAGGTGTCTTCTCAAAGATCTCCTCGGAGAACTTTGCTTTCTCTTCCTGATTGGACTTTACTGCATGATGTAGATGATCACAAATATGCTGGTGTTTAAAGCATCAGCTCTCACACTGGTGATGGGAGTTTTTTGCATGGTGGGAAGAGGGGTAGGAGTAACCATGTGCAGCCCAATGTCCACCCTGGCTCCCCTCTGCCTGCAGGGAAGGGACCGAGGTGGGAGAGGGGCCAAGCCATGGTGGCCACCATGCCTGGTCCTTGCAGAGCAATCTCCACTTGAGCCTTCTCACCTGCCAGGTCCCCCATTGAAATGCATCTGTGCACACACACACACCCTCTCACCCACACACTGAACTGGAGGATGGGGACACTGGGGACACCACAGACATATGTTGTACACACGTCTGCTGCTGTGTGCTGGCACAACACCCACAACACTCCAGAACGACTGTAGGGACGTCTGTTCTGAACTGATCTCTGTCTGAATTAATGTTGATTTTATATTTTGAATACAAAACGTGACCAATAGAGGTTTGGGGGGCGGTTTTTAATGATAAGCTGACCACACGTTCACCCTGGTGTGTGAATATGTAAGTGCATAGGTTACACATACCATGAAACGGGTTGCTATCAGAAAGGAGGGCATGATCTAAAATTATTTTACTAGACAGTATTTTTACTTTCAGCACTTTCACTTTGTCCAGAGGTACCACGTGCCATACCTAACAGTTGCTTTCTGCTGATATTCTTCTGTCCCAGCTGCAACACAAATTACATTTTCTAGAAGCACAAACCATTCTTCTGCTGCCATGGCTGCTTCTGCCAGTCACAGATTTGTTTTTCAGTTCAGGCTGGAATTTCTCACAGAACTCTTTAGTTTTCCATTTTGTTCTATTTTGGTTTGCTGATTCAGGCTTTTTCAGCCATGCAATGCAATGACTGTCACTCCTGAGGGCTCCTGCTCCATGTGCTTCGGGTGCTTTTGTGGCTTGGGTAGGGGACCTGCACTTCAAGTTCTATAGGGAGGACCTTGGCTACAAGGCTTTTACTGGAAAATAATTTCAGCAGAAAATAGGTTGGACTCAGTTTCACCAAATGAGTCACTAACCAAGACAGAAAAATTATTCTCATGAGCAAATACATATATGAGCACAAAAATATGAAATTATTTACTTCGATTGACTACAGCTTCTGAGAGTACATAAGCACCTTCATCCATTTGGATTTTGGTGGATTTAATGGCTAGACAAACACTTGTCAGGCTGTAAGTCCTGGATGCAGAAACTATTGAACTTGCATACCCAAAACTGATCTGGGCGAAAGCTTTGCTCTTACAAATACTACTCAACTTCTAGACAAAGGTTGAGATAATCCTCTGCCTTCAGTCAGTTACCTGTTCACGCACTCAACTGGAAGCACATGAATGGTGCCAGTAAGGACAACAAAACTATCTGTCTGCCTAAAGCCAGGAATGTAGCCAAGTACCTTCGCGAATTAAGATCTCTGAACTCACAAGCGTGTACTGAATAAGGGCAAAGATTACCTTTAACTGAAAATAATGCTGTGTAACCTCTCCTTTGTTTTCAAACTACTCCTTTAATAGGCTGTTAGAGAAAATAATTCCTGTCAAATAAAGTATGTATCCATTAAAGAAAAGTAAGAAATACGTTCTACCTCTAAGTTACTGGAGATTTTGTTTTTAGAAATACAGTAATTGTAAAGATTGGAATTCAGAGACAGACAGTAATTCCTGAAGATCACTCAGCAGTGAAGAAACAGCTGTAGCTCACCATTTCTCAATATTCATATCTAACAAAAGCTAATAACAATAATTACTTCCTCAGCTGAATCTCCTGTTACTTTCTTAAGTGTAAGAACCTCAGAGAGAGAAGCTCCTGTACTGATGACCAAACTGGACTTGTAAATCGTTTTGGCAGGTATTCATGCAACACACACCTTAGCATTATACAATCTTCAAAAGAAATAATTGCAGCCTGTATTTCCCATGTGAATCCAGTGCCTGCAGCAGCGCTCTCTTTGCTTTGAAGCAGGTCTCATAGAAACATGCCATATGAAATGTAGCCATGAGTTCCACGTTCTGCCTTGGTATTTACATGAACTCTAATCACCCTTTGTAAATTTTCTGCAATAGACAAAACATCTTAAATCAGAGAAATCATTAAGATTATGAGCACTCTGTATTTGCAAGGGAGGTTTTCTTCTCTGACTCTTCAGACATCTCTGTATCTCCAGGCTTTCAAGAACAGCTAAAAGTAGATTGCACTCTATCCAAAATAAGCCATTTTTATCAACACAGTTGTCATTATTTTCCAAAAAGAGAACGGAATCAAAAACCCCAAAAGGCAGTTAGGTACTCTTTAGGAAGTTAGCCAGGAATCATCTCTAGGTTATCCTCATGAGAAGTTACACTTGCCTGCCTTTCTTCTGTCATCTGATTACATGAAACGGCTTTCACAGAACCATTAGTGTTAGAGAAGAAAAAATACCAGTTTATCTTAGTCCACTTCTCTGACAGCAACAGACTCTTCCTTAAAATTTCCTTTGGTACATTCAGAGTAAAATTCCAGCCCTGGACATTGCACAGCACAGTGGTGCCTTAATATATGAGAAATAAGGATGTAAGCTCTACTCTGGACTGGAAGATTAGCTTGGTTTTCAAACTAGATTTTAATTGTATCTCTCTGTTGCCTTTCCTTTCCTACAGCTTTGCCTCTCTGAAGTTAATGGCAGGATTTACCTGCCCAAACCATGAAAGATTTCTGCATTTTCCTCGCCCTCAGTCTGCTTATTTCTTTGCAGATGCTTCCTGAAATGCAGCTTTCCCTACCCTACTTCTCGGTGGTTTGTCCCAACCACAAGTCATACAGACCGTAGGCACATCAGAAAGAAATACTCTTCTGCATCTTCCTTCTGTAAGTTTTCCTCCTCCACGTCTCCAAACAACAGCATATTGGGAGAAAGATCTGTTTTACATCCAACCTTTTCTATGCATGTTAACAGCAGACCACAAAACGTTTTCAAATAGGTATTATCCATGCAAAAGTCACGTAATTTTTACCATTATTTTACCATTAGTTAAATTAATAAATGGCAATGTGAATATGGAGGCACAGAGAAAATTAG